GTTTTGGAAACAAAATTTTAAACGCAGGGAATTTTCATGTTTTGGTTGGGCTCAAGAAGGAAAAGACCGTAAATTTATTGGGACAGATTTTTTTTTTTTTTTTTTTTTTGAGGTTTCCAGATTAACACTGCAAAATCAAGCTCTCAATCTTCTAATAGGCAGAAATTTTTAGGGTGATTATCAGAGCAGGGATGGAGTGTAAGCACAAGCCCTTTAGAGCCCTGTCCATCATGAAATCTGATTTTTGAGGGAAGAGACAAGGAAGCAAAATTACTGCATAAATCATTAGTACAAAGAATCAATATGTGTCCTCATTTGCTTTAACCTAGTAAAGCTGCTGAGAGATTTGCTTTAGGAGGGAAGCTGGAATTGTGTGTGTCTCATGAAGAGACTCTTGGCTATTCTGACTATTGGAGGACATTGAATAGCTCGGTGAAACACATTTTGGACAACTACATTTTCAACCCATTCTCCGTGAACCAACTGTGTTGCACAGAGCAGCTGTGATAACCTCTGACTAATTGGCTTTTCAGAAGGTTACCTGCTGAGAGCATCTGCCATGACATCCATTCTCCCAGAAATGCTTCATCTCAAAATTGCCTGATGCAGGCGGCAAAGCCCAGCATCACTAGCAAGAAGTGAGTTTGCACTTGAGCCAGATATAGAGGGGATAAGGTTTGCACGACCTTGCTGGATGTTCATCACCTGTCTTGAACCCCGGCTGTGATTTTCAAGCCAGGGTGTCTCCAGCTGAGCTCTAGGTCTGTCACTAGGGTCTAATAGAAAATAAGCTATAGGAAGGAAAAAATTGTTGGCATGGAGTGATAGCAGGTATGTCAGAACCATCTTTCGAAGGCCCCCGCGAGGCGAGCCTTGCTGTTCAACCAGGCAGCGAGTGTGTAAGTGAGCCAGGATCCCGCGTACTCGAGCCCTCGCAGTGGCCTCCCGTGTTTTCCGAGGGCGCGAGGCCGCGTCACGCACGGCGCAGCTGCCGCCTCCTGGCCCTCCTGTGCACCTGGGGCCCTCCGGACCGGCACATTAATAAACAACACCGAGAAGCTCATGGTGTGCTCAGTCATTTTCTTGCAACATACACAGGAATATTTATTCACTGGTATATTTATGATGAGGGTATCAACTGTTATTAAAACTGTATCCAGGTGGATTAAGGGTACTCGCTTATGGGAGCAAACGATCCCAAAAAAAAGCATTTTAGAGAAGTAACCCTGAGCTGGCATTTATCAAAATAACAGCTCACGTGTCAGGTGCTGTTTGTTTTAAAGACTCTGCTCCTGGAGTCCTGTGATAATACTGCACTGATCATTGAAGAAGAAAAACCTCCGTGTTTCATGGTTGGGAGTGAAAAAGAAAAATTTGTCCTAACTGTCCTAACTTTCCCTAATTGAGGTGAAGGGAAAGCAACATTTATTTTTAATTATGTGATTTTTAATTATGTGATATATATTTTAATTATGTGATTTTTCAGCCACCATAGTTATTTTACAGGGCTCTCATTAGTGAATACTGATCACTTGGGATGAGGATTGCTGTGCCTGAAGCTCTGGGTGTGGTGTTGGTAGATCCACCTTTATCGCCAGCCTGGTCCAAAGCCGAGATCTTGGCTTCCTGCTCAGCAAGCAGATTCAAAAATCAGAAGCAAGCAGAGACTTCCTTCCTTTTCCCCCCCTCCATGTTTTTCTACAGTATTGGTGTCACATTTGACATCCACCACTAAATAACCTTCAAGAATGTGTCAGCTACCAGGGCTTAGTAATGAGGGGAAAAGCAGGCAGGCCAGGCCAAGACGCGACCGCTTTGGCATTGAAACCGAATTGCCCRTCTTATCAGAAACCCCCCGTGTCTGTTTGCTCTCCCGGCTGCGCGGTGCGTTGGGGCCGTTGATTGATGTGTCACCGCGTGACGTGGCCTTCATAGAGGCCGCGGGGACGGGATGGAYGCACGGGGCCGGGATGGACACACGGGGCCAGGACGGACGCGCGGGGCCGGGGATGGGGCCTGCGCGCGGCTGCAACCAGGGTGCGTGAGGGCCCTGCTCGTGGGCCGCAGCTCCCACAACAACTGGGCAAACATTCGCAGGCAGCCTGGGATCTCTGCCGTGTTGACCCTGCTTATCAGAGGCCCCGCAGGACGTGTGCCAGTAGCTGCATGTCCCCACGGGAGAGGAGATGCACAGAGTCCTGCCATGGCACCCACAGCAAGCACAAGGCCGTGGGGATTTCATGATGGGGAGCAGCATGCGGAGACACRGCAGGGTAAATCATCACAGCGGGGAGCTGGGGACACCCTCTTTCCTCCTTTGGTCACCACCAGGGCGGCCCAGAACAGAAATTTTGTTTTTAAATTCACCTCCATGGTGCCTCACAGAGGTACACCGTCTCACACCACAGGGATTGCAACTCAGCAGGCAATAGGCAAGAGGGTGGATCTAATGCTCTCCAGTGATGCTTTGGTGGTGGTACGAAATCCTTTGGAGCTAGCAATATGCCTCCTTAGCCAGCAGCAAGATGCAGCAGGTCGGGGAAGCTGCAGAATATTGTAATGTCTCAGGTGCTGTGAGAGGCAGAGAGGGAGACATCTGAGGTCTTGATATCACAGGAAAAATGCTTGTAAACAGAGCTGAATACAGGTTTTCTGCAAACTCAGTGGAGTGGTGGTTCTAACAAAGGTAAGAAAACCATGCATTTTTTTTTAAAATCAGGAACCCTGATAAAATACAACAAATAGATAATATAGCTCAGCTGAGCTGAGTTAGCAGGTATTTCAGGTGAATGAAATCTATATCCCTTTCTCGTTTAGAAAAAAATAATCAATTGATACCTGTGCTCAAAACCAGAATATGTCTTTGGCTTTGAAATGAGGTGTCTTGTTGCAGCAGTGCCTGGAAATGTCAGGTRAGATTAGATCTGTGTGCGGGGTGTTGGTGAGCAGACATCCCCCTGCAAAGGGAGTCCTCCTTCCAGAGAGCTTGCAGGCTAAGGCAGCGTGTTCAAAGGCACCTGCTCATTTGTGATACTTTTGAAAAAGGGTGCATTTTCAGAGAAAGATAATTTTGAGAAGAATTTTGAGAAGGTTTAGAGGGGATCTGACTAATACGTATAAATAGCTGAAGGGGAATGTAGGGACGAAGGGGCCAAACTCTTCTCAGTGGTGGCCAGTGACAGGACAAAGGGCAATGGCCTGGTGCCCAAACGTCCTGTCAATTCTGTCAAGAAATCAAATCTTTCCCAGGTCCCAAATGTGCCTGTTTCTCAGAGCACTAGTGACACRGGTGAATTGTGCAGCAGGCAGCTGCAGGTGGCAATAAGATCATCATGCTAGTGACCTTCCAAGTGGAAGCAATGCACATGTAAGACCAAAAGGCTGCACACTGAGCAGCTGCACGTGTCCACTCAGCAATGGAAAGAGCATGGGATACATTTGCAGTTTCGTGGGTTTCACGGGCCGTATTTAGACTGAGAGTGAAGTGCTCAAGGCAATGTGGTGTTTTTCCCTTTGTAAATCTCATCCCACTCAGCATTTTTCCAGAATWTAAAGCCGCTGCTTTAGCCTCCCATCATCTCCCCATCTGGCTAGACGTTTGCTGTGGTAGCTGCACGCGGCTGGGACGGGATGAGGTGAATATGGGCAGGACACCAGGCTGATGGTGCCGCTCTTGAGAAGAGGCCACGAGGCTTGGTTGTCAGAGGGGAGAGGGTGCAAAGCACAAACCCAGAGATCTCTGCCCTGGCTCTGCCCATCAGGGACCGGGTCCCTCACTTTTCCTGGTGTGGCAACGCTTCAGTAAAACTGGTGGTGATGAGGGCACTGTGAGAAAAGAAACCCATGTCCAAATACAGCCTTATGAAATTGCATGGTGAACTTATCTCTGCATGGCTCCCTGTCTCTGGGTTCCAGTGCAAGCCAGGGAAGAGTGGTTTGTATGCATTTTAGTAAATACTGAGTAAACAATTGGGTACATTGCCATRTGAGTATTCCTGCACAGCAACTCATCAATTGTTCAAAAAGGCAGAACGAATTCCCATCAGAAATCACAAAATCACAAGTCAGTTGAGGTGGGGAGGACCCTCTGCAGAGCACTCAGCTCAACCCTGCTCTAAGCAGGGCCAAAGCAGGTTGCTCGGGGCCTTGCCTGGTGATGCTGTGAGTATCTCCATAATGCAGAGTGAGCCACCTCTACAGCTAACTTGTTTCAACAACACCATTTGACCACCCTCCCTAGGATGATTTTTTTCCTTGTATCTAACTGGAATATCCCATATTGCAATTTGGTCTGATACCTCTCATCCTTAAATTGTGCACCTTCTCTGATGGAGGAGAAGGATAACTACTTGAAACCTCCAGATTTTCCTTCTTCACATTGTGAGCACCTTACAGCTATGTGAGACCATCAGTGCCACAAAAAAAAAAAAAAAAAAGAGGGGACTTTGCTGCTTTTGACAGGGAAAAAGAAACCCCTTAGGTGTGTTATGGAGTCTAAAGCAGGGAAGGAAATGGATGAGCTGTTCTCATATCTCCTGTTCTGAGGTCAGCTCATACTGCCTTGGCCAGCAGAGATGATATCAATCCCTGCTTGGAGATTTGAACAAGTATTTGGCTTGTTTGGCTACAAGACCTTCAGCAGCACATGCAAGCCCAAGCAAAGAGAAGAGCCTGCTTTCTGGGACTCAGGCTAGAGGACGAGTAAACACAGCTTTGAGGACAGGCAATAAGTTCAAGTAGGATTCATTAAATTATACAAATCATTGCCGATCTGCACTTTATATTTATCTAAGGAATTGATTAAGTGCTGAGTTTTTGGTTGATGACTAAAGCTGATTAAAGTACCTAACTCGAAAGGTGTATTTCAAGGAGTAGTTTGTCCTTATAGTAGAAGTACTTTTATCTAGCACAAACCTGAGTTTTCTTTTTGTTTTAATTAAAATTGTTGCTCTATTTTATGTTTACTGTATGGTTTTGGTTTTGTGTTTTGTCTCTTACAGCTCCAGCAGAGAGCTCCCCATAAGCATTTCCAGCCTCTAAAGCTGCTGTCCTGCCACTTGATATGAAAGTGAACTTTTCTTCCTGAAAAAAAAACATAATAAATGGCACTGCCAGAAGGTGACCATGGAGGACTGAAGACAATCTTGAAGGAAAGTCCTGCTCAAGATGATGCATCCTGGGAAGACCTGGTTTGCAGTAGATTAAAAATGTGATGCATTATCTCCAGTGCTAGTCTGTTTGATATGGTCATTGATAGACCTTTAGCTGGAAAGATTCTTCCAGTTTTCATCACTGTGCATAACTTTGAGTTCCCTTTAGGGGACAGTCTGTGCCCTTCACTAGAGGTCCTGTTTTAGCATGGCAACTACTGGATTCTTTTGTTTTGTATGCAGATGGCATGATGTTTTAGGAAAAACTTGCAGCAATTCTCYGATCTCAGTGAATATTCACAATATTACACCCCTGATAGGAATGTAAACGTCTTGTATGTGTTCATTTTGCAGTCTAATGGTATTCTGTTGAACAATATCAGCACTTCATAGTGCTTTCTGCACAAAAAGACTAGCACAGTCATATATATATAAATGTCTTTTTTTATTTAATACAGATGATATGTTTCATATCAGTATTTTTGCTGAGACTGCATCCAAACTGAAGTCCACTACTTGCATACCTTCACTAATTCACAGTAGATTGTATAGATAGATTTGCACGTGACAAATGTGTGACTTACTTTATTGAGACTTGCAGAACAGCTGTCAAAGAGGTAGTCAAGAACAGGGTAAGTTGAATGAGCTGTAGGAAACTGTCTGTTCACCCTCTAATCCGCCAAAAATCAAAGGTTCTCGTTTCCAGGATGCCAAATGCAATTTTCTTACTCAGTGAGGGAGAAGAAAGGGAGAGAGCCTTTCTCAGAGAAGTGCTTAACCTTGGGTTTGGTCTATAATAAAAACAGAGTAAACTGGAAGAATTCCTTTTTTTTTTTTTTATGCTGATTACCATTTATGTTTTGGGCAAGATTGGGGAATCGCAGTCCAAACCAGAACTCTGTGGAAGGGGTAAGGTTTAAGACTGTATACTTCTGGGGAGCAAGACTCTCTCTCTCTAGAGAGGGCAGACTTCATTAACCTTTTTCCACTTTCTACCCAACAGTATTTTGGTAGGAACCTGGAATAAGCAAATGGTTTTAATAAGCCTTTCAATACACTGTAGCAGGCTCAAGACTGTTGCATTCAACCTGACCGTTGTTTTTTGTTCGGTCTCTGGCTGGCCTCATCCCTGGCTGTATCACAGCTGGCTGTGGTACCGTTTTCTCCATGGGGAGTTAGTGGATTTTGTGTCCGTCCCTCACATCAGGACCTACTTGACACGCTCTTTCTAATGAACTGATGTCATCAGCATGCTGAGGGGACGTCACTGTTTCTTCTTGTTGTCTTTAAAATCAAAGGTAGCTTTGGGGGTGTTTAAATGCCATCATTCTCTCCAACAAAACGAATAGGTGCTATAGAGCTGCTGTTAGTATAACTGTTGGTGAGACCCYGTGCTGGTGTGAAGATGCAGTGATGGAGAGAAGGTGCAAGTATGTCAAGTCAAAGGAATATCTTAGAGCAGGTTCCTGCTTAAAAACTAGTGTGCAATTCTTTGCTAGGGAATGCAAGGTCAGCCAATGAGGATCCCTGTACGTTCAACATACATATCTATATGTTGAGGGACTACCTTTTTCAGATGGGTCTGGGCTTACATTACAGCTCTTCATCCATCTCAGATTCAGCATGTTGGATATTTCTTTGCTATTCCATCCAGAAGCAAATTATTTTTATTGACGGCCAAGATTTTCAGAAGTGGCCAATGAGTTCTGATGGTTCGAGTTTTCAAATGGAGTGCCACAACATTTTGAGGCAATATGCATGTGTATTGTCTTTCTGAAAATCCTGGTCCCTGATTTAAATCAACTGGTGTAAAAAATCTCCTTAACACAAGAATCTTTGCCAGCTGCAACATACACATTTTTAGAGCTTTTGTTAGCATTGCAAGTTCAAATCTGATACTTATTAAATGAACTGACCATGAGCATTGCCAAATTCCATTCTAAGCTTCAGCAAATTTTGCAGCTCTTTCTGTTGCAGATTTTAGCAATGTATTCTGGCAACTGACATCAATTTCATATTGGTGGAATGATTTACAGCAAGTTTGCTATCAGTTATTTTAGAAAGGAGGAGAATGCTACACTTCTGCACGAGGAATTCTCTTATTTTACCAGCCAATTAAAATTTCTGGAAAAGAAATGGAATTATGAAAGAAGAATGTCGTTCTGAATGGGTATGAGAGAAACTGCTGGTTAGGGGAAGAGCCACTAGAAGCATTTTGTGTGTCAATGTTAGTCTTGAACATCTTCCAGTCTATGGGCATGAATATAGATGTGTGAACTTCTCCTGTTACAGTTTGTTTTAAAAGCTTCCCAGGATTTTAGATATGGTAACGTAGAAGCAGTGTTATAGGCCCTGAGAAATGTGAAAATAAAGCCCGGATCCTTGTTTAGCCAAACACGGTGAGAAATCTGCTGTAGGTTCCTATCAGACCGAGCTTGTTGGAAGCTGCTGCCGGTCCCAGGCACCGGGCAGCCCCYGCGTGTGAGTAAGTTAACACGTAAGTGGGACTCGCTCCACGGAGCCCAGTGCCATTACCCACATGAGCGCCCGTCTGCAGGAGCCATAACGAACTAAAACTGTCCTTTYGGCTTGTATTTATTCATCGTGTTGGGATTTTTGTAATCACTGTAATGCTCCCAAAGTAGGCCATGCTTCCTCAGGGATATTTATGGAATTGTTCTACATCTATCGAACAGCTATCTGGATCCCAGCATATTCTTCTGAAAACTTTGTAATATAAATAAGCATGTGGGAGAGATTTTTGTTATTATGAACGGGGGCAGGTACTGTGTTCTCGGAAAGGCCATTGAGTGCAGACAATCAGGTCTACTGCATTTTTTATGCTCAACACCTTATTAATAGCAGACACATCCGCTTTTGCCTGGGTCGCAAGCACAGTCCTATGGAAAGAACGCTTTATCTCTGGTCAATAAATCATTTATGTCGAGAGTGCCAAAGACCAAGTCAACATGAAAGGGAACGAGTAAGTTATTCCGGCAAAGGAAGTGAATTTAAATATGCTCAGAGCCATTAGTTCTGTGCGAAAGAGGAGGCTAATGCTGTTTTAATAAAACAGCAATTACCAGCCCTGCGGAGGGAGATGCGCTCGCACAGGCTGGCACATTGATCACTAGTTGTCATCTCTGAAACGCAGGTGGAGGGAAAGAGCCTTCGTCCCGGGAGTGGCCCTTCCTCCCGGGATCTCTGTATGGAGAACAGCGGCGCTGGCAACCATGGATAGACACAACTGTGGTGAGCRCTCCGAGTGCGCCGAGTCTGGCACCAGGGAGAGAAAGGGATTGCTGGCCCTGGAAAATACACTGCAGCTGAGAACATCTTTGCACTGTTTTATTCCTCTGTTTTTTGCCAATCTGTGGGTGTTTCTTTGCCTGAAGGCCCCTGGTTTTCTCAGCTGGAGACGCCAAGGGCTTCCCGGCGGGCGTTTTGCGGATGCGCCGGCGCGTCGCTCCCGCCGCCTGTCTGCAGCCCCGGCCTCCCGCCCGGCTCTGCCAGCAAAGGCTCTTGCTTGACAGCGAGACTGAGAGCAGCTGYGGAGCCGCTAAGGAAATCCAAACCATTAAAAATGGCAAGATTCGGGTTTGTTTAGTTGGTAATTTTTGGAAGCCTCCAGGGCCGACCCCCAGCAGATGTGAATTAGCACCAATCCATCAAAGTCCCTGGAGGGCTGGGGATTGATGCCAGCCACGGAGCCCGTCCTGGGGTGATTTTTTTGTTATAACTTCRGCTAACCTCCTCAGCCCCACACAAAGCCACAGGACCTCAATTACTCAGAACTGTCTTGGGCAAGCCAAGCAAAATCCTGCATTTTTCACCCCAGTCCTCTCTTAACAAGTAACATCTTTGCAGGCAGATTTCTCCGTGAAAGCCCCTGCTACGAGACTGTGCTATAATTGACCCTAGTATATATAGGCTGTGGTCAATAAGATTTTAATTTAAAAAGAAGAGGAACTCTGGTATAATTAAAATTAATGGGGGGAAAGTACTACCAGCATTACCTGCAACTTCAGGAAAGATAGCTGGAGTGCAAAAAGCCTTCCACTAACATAATGTTTAGGTGATTAGGCAGCAATTAAAGAAAATAAACATTTGATGAAAAAAGCCAAATAAATGTGTGGAAATTCAGTGGCCAGTAGGTTATGGTTAATAGTTTTTTAATATACCCTAATAAATACAGTCATAGCAGAGCTAAGTGTGGTGTTAGACAGGCTCAGCACAGTCATTACTCATAGTGCATGAAAAAGAGGAGTAATCACCAAATATTCTTGTTTTGTTTTTGAAAGCGGTAGCATGAGGGAGTCAGATTGCACATAAAATGTAATTCCTCCTACTGCATCAGTAATTGTGGGTAATATGAAACAGCAACTACCCAAATATATATTTTTTTAATTTGCAAAGSCAGATAACTGAGTCCTGGAGTGTAGGAAAGCTTGCCAAGGATTGCTCAGAACTGAGAGACATGAAAAAAGCTTCAAATGACAAAAAAAAAAAAAAAAAATGCCAATAACTAAAATGAATGAGTGACCTGACCCAGAAAACTATGGACTTATTAGTTTCCTATCAGTCATAGGCAAAATCATGGGAAGGTTGATATGACACAGTCATTAAAGCAATTAAAAATTGATAGGACCCTCCAAATGATTTTTATAGAGATGTGTCAAAAGACTTGCTATCATTTTGGGGGGATATCAAAGGCTTGTTGATAAAAGGAACTCTGGTAACATCCTATACTCAGTCTTCTGTTGATCATTTGATCCTGATAAAGCAGAAAATAGCGCTATGCAAAATCAATAGAGCCCATACTAAGTAGCTTAAAGCTGATTACATGAGATATCACAAAAAAGAAGCAGTAATTACAAAATTGCCATCAATGAGGATATTTCTAATGAGCTCCTCACAAGGTATGCTCTATTTTCAATATTCCTCCCAGGTAAATACAAACTGATTGTTGGCAACATCCATAGATGCCAAAAATCAGTGCTTGGTAAATAATGTCATGGAGCAGGTCAGTAGTGCAGGATAAGCTGGAGTTTTCCAAACTCCAAAATCCAAGGAAGACGAGTGCAAGTCCCCCTTGGAAGACCGGGGAGAATGTCTAGCATGTGGTGACTGCAAAGATCTGCTGTTCTCATAAATAATCCCTGCGTCATCAGCCCTGCTGATGCCCTTGCCAGCAGGGAAAGTGGGATCTTCAGGGCAGCCTTTGGGAAGATCCCGAGTGGGCAGCAGAGGTGACGCTGTGTGCAGGACAGTGGGTTCCCCTGTTGCAAAGGGATCCTCTGGAACTGGGGAGACCATTGCTTGAAGGGCAGGAAAAGAGCTAATATTGCAATGAAGCCCAGACTAATGAAGCTCAAGCTGCTAATTAAGAGAGGATTTGAAGAGGTGACTTGTGCAGCGCCCGGCCTCGCAATCCTCTACCTGCATGGGGAAGAGGTGTCTGCAGGGAGGTCGCTCTTTTGTTTGGAGGAAAAGGGAATGATGAGCTGCACTGGTTGGCAACTGATTTCAGGCTGGAAATTAAGTGCAATTAAGTTCAACAGAAGGGATGATTACCCCTGGAGACAGCTTAGTTGCCTCGCCTGTGCTCCATCACGTAAAGTTGTAAGATGTAGGCAGAATATTTTTCTAAGTCGATAACCTCTACCTCAAGCAGAAGTTTGGGCTTGTTGCAGAATGACTGAGAGAGGTTCTTAGGTGTCTGTTTGTGCAAGAGGTCAGACGGGATGATCAGAAGTTCTGGRATTAAAAATCTCTTACAGTTTCCAATATGACAGAAAGGAAGGGCAACCTAGATCCATTTTTTTTCACACAAGTCACCTTAATTCAAATGGAGAGCTTATATTAACAGAACTGCACCTGCGAGCCTCTGATACGAACATGGGCAGGTCTGCTCACAGTTGCAAGGTTTTCRTGCATGTGCTTGAAGGGAGCAGAATTGGACAAGGAAGGATGAGAAAACTCCTCTGACACAGAGTAAGACTATAGTCTTCCATAACAGCCTGGGACCAAGTCTTGCACTCAAATGATTAGGTCAAGCGAGAGTGGAGGCTGAGCAAACAGCAAGAGTGGCTTGCCTCTTAATTAAGGAGGAAGCATTTTGCAGGCAAGAAGTGGGTTTTCCTTGTCATCAGCTGAGAGCAAAACTGCGGTGCTGCCTGAGAACTGAATTCTCTGGCTTTGCTGCTGAGCAGGACCCACGAACTCCTTGTCTCCAAGGCAGACACAGCCTGGACACTGCCCTGAGCAATACACGCTCCTCCCCAGCCTGAGCTTTTGCCCAACTGGGCCCATTTTGACTGACACTTTTTGGAAATAAGCATTCCCAAGGCTGCAGCTGGGAGGTGCCAGGCAAGCGCRAGCCGCCTTGTGCGGCTCATAGCTCTGCTGGCTGCTGAGAAGCAGAACACAAAAGAGSATGTTGGGTTTAAGGAGTAAACAGGGCACTCAGACGAGAGAAACYACCGAAGCAAAACTCACCGCAAATTGGTTTTGAATCAGTACCCAAAAAGCTGAAACAAGAAGGAGTTAGCTACAAATATAACTAAAAAGATAAAGATTTTCTTGGATTCCTGCTCTAATTTAGTGTGAAATCCCGAGAAAAAGAGTCTATCTGCGAATAAGTGTTTAAAGAACATGGGCACATAGGAGATGCCTGTCACATAAAGTGTAGGTCGACGCCAGCATGTGTTCATGGTCGCTTACAGGTGGCCTCCCTCTTCCGAAGTCACCGCGTGGCCAGAGGAGGCAGCTGATCCTGCAGCTGACAGTGTCACGTCTGGTTCTTCCACGGAAGCAGGATTGCAGGCATTATTGTAACACAGCGAGGCTTAGGCTGAGAATGAGATGAAAAGCTCCTTTCTGATTTAATTCCAAGTATATCTAAATACTTCTTTTTTTCAGAAGAAAAAATATCCTCTGTAGCTATTGTTACATCTCTAATCATGTTACTTGTATTAAGCACTTGCTTTGAATTCATCTATTTATTATCATAAGTGACCAAATTAAATACTGATGCACAGTTTGGGCTTTTTTTAAATAGGGAGATCAATATTGCTGCAACGCTGCATGCAAGCAATAAAAAGATGTGCAGAGGAAAAATCAATCTGCCCCATCAGCTGCTATGGGTTTTATCTGTTTTGGTTTTGGTGAGCCTGGTTTTACATCCAGACAGATGTTCTCCCTACTGAACCAGGCCCTGGTCTCAAGACTAGCCCAAATGGAGAAACGTTTGGAGTCCTCTTTCTGTCTCATACTCATTTCTCGTATGCAAGGGRCCTTTCTCTGTTCTTCTCCTGAGAAAGGTAGAGGAGAGATTACGCAGTTTCCAGTGCACAAGGGAAACCMCAGAAATGCTTTATCTTCCAGATGAAGCATGAGACTCGTGTCTCGTCCTTTTCCCAGTAAGCTCAACTCCACGGACCAAGATAAACCAGAGCCCGGGACCGTGCTGAGCTGCGATGCGAGCTCAGCCTTAGGCCCTGCACCACACAGTGCTGCTGTCTGACTGTAGGATCAGCCTTAAGCCAGCGAAGGGCCTCCAGACAAGGTGTTTYTCCCACCTTGGGAGCCGAATCCAAGCTTGATTGAACCCAGCCTTGAGAAGAACAGCTAAGTTATGGCTGGAATTGAAGCCACATCCGAGTGCTCTCCATAGGTTGCCCCATGTGCAGTGTTAGGCTATGGGCTGCAGTTGCTCATGTACCCAAGTAGCAGGAACAGAAGGGTAGACAGGAGTAAGTTCCTAGGAAAATTTCCTTGCCTGATTCAAGAAAACCACGGCAGGGATAAGGGAGAGCAATTCCCTGGCCTGCAGCCTGCGGAAGGCCACGCTTCATGATCGGAAGGGCCTCCTCTGTGTCYAGAGACAGGCACCAGCATTGCTTCCTTTGGGTCGGGTCTTGTTTGTGTTCACCAGGGCAATCATCCAAGTCTCTGTTCTCCTTTTAATGTTCACTTGGTTGAAAACAAGGGAAAATGCCAGCACTCCAGTTGTTAAAAAGTGACTCACAGTTGTTCCCAGTGTGTCTGTGACGGAACTTTCTCAGCACAGAGCCAAATGAGGTGGCATAACAAAACCGTGTGCCTTTTGGGTTGATGTGCACTGTATTTCCCCAGGCAAGCAAGGTGTTCATCTGCACAGCAGTTCTTCTTTTCCCAAAACACAGAAATTATCATGCAATCTAACTTTCTGTGTACTAAGTGGCCATCACTGTTAATTCCACCCTACAGTTTTTATAGTTACTCTTAAATTCCTTCTGTTTTCAAAAATAAACAAAGAAAAAAATAAAACCAGGGTGGGAGGGAGGAATTCTTTTAAACAATGAAATAAAAATCAATATCAAGTTTTTGGTATCTTYGGGCATGATCTCTGGAAGCTTTGGATATCTGCTTTATCATTTTGTATATTTGACAATTTTGTACTCTGCATTGTTTGACCTCATTTGTGCATGGCGACGTATTAAAACATGGAATTTTTATGATACAGGAAAAAAAAAGAGTGTTTTTTTTGATGCCAGGAAGGTCCCCATGCTGCCTGTAYGGGTACGTGGGACCTGCTATGGGCATCGCACGTCGCTGGGGCCTGTGCGCCCCATCCCRAACTGCTCTGAGCAAGAGGAAACCTGGGGGCACATCAGCACCAGACGTGTCCCTCGTGCTCTGCCTTGGGCTCATCCGGAATGTTTGTTCCTATCCTTTCCGCGGGATGCCGGAGGGTTTGTTCCCATCCTTTCTGCGGGATGCGGGAGGGTTTGTTCCCATCCTTTCCGCGGGATGCGGGAGGGTTTGATCCCATCCTTTCCGCAGGCTGCCCTTTCCCTCCCTGGCTGCGGGTCTTTGGGTCGGCTAGTTCGCCCTGCGTCGCTTCACGTATCTCCAGGTGCATCCGGTGGCGCCAGGGCCCTGCTCTGCTCTGGTGTCRAAGGGTTTGCGGTTGGACGGATGATCTTGAAGGTCTTCCCCAACTGCAATGATTCCAGGATTCTCTGCAATGTTTGGGTGTAAATCCACAGCRGTGCCACTGACTTTGCTGGAATTACTCAGGGATTAGCAGAGTGCRACTGCAAGCGGACTCAGCAAAATGCCATGAAATATTCTTTTTTTTCCCCCTTGCCTTTATTTCACAAGAGCTGAAGGATTGCCCTTGTGGGCATCCAAGCGTCTTCTAAGGGGACCAAACCACAAACCCAGCAGGTGCTGTTTATGGTGCATGTCATTTCAACCCCGTTTCCCCCGGCTCAGCACTTACGCCTTGAGAGTAATTTAGAAGTCAGTGGATAAGGTAGTTTTCAGAAACACTAATGCTGAAATTCCAGCCTTCTCCTGTTTATATAGTCTTTATATTATTTTCAGCCATAATTTTGAATGTTCTTGCATTTATAAGGTGGCAATTGTTGACATGTTTTGGTCAAACACAAAATATGAGGCTTAAAACAAAATAATAGAAGGAAATTATATAGTGTGCAGTATAACTGACAGAAAGCCAAAGTAAATTGTCACCTAAAAATCATAAATCGTGTTTTTTTTATTGTAACATTTCCTGATTGGACTGCAATTTGCTAAATTCTGCTTACACCTTCAAAAAAGCTTTCTACTCCATAAACTTTGTTAGTGGGAAGAAAATGTTTGCAGGAAAAGGTCTGTTGTGGCTTGAATCTGTGCATGTTTACATCTCAGGCCAATGGAAATTGCGGCCATAAAAGTAAAGATAGCAGTTTCCGTGTCATTTGTTCTTTTCACCATAGCGACAGAACACTGTATTATTAGTGCTATGRATGACGTGTACTTAGATTATTTCCATTATAAATATGTCACCTAAATCAGATCTGCTTTATAATGAAACAGCAGCTACAATGRTAATGAAATACTCCTCCCTGGAGACATAGAAAGTAGCCACTAATGCTTTGGAACAAGGAATTTCCATGTCAGCTCGTACAGGATTTGGGTTATAAATCTCACCAAAGGCACTGCAGCTTCTTAGCTGGGAGTTTATCATTCATTAGCGGCCATTCAGTTTRGTTAGTTGCTTGTTTTTCTTTCAGTGGCCAATTGGTCCTTGATGCAACTCACACGATCTTATATCGCAGCCCATGCTCGTTGCCCCTGCGCGTTGGTTCTTGCCTTACCCCTTGCAGCTGTTGCATGGTCCAGGCCAGGGTCATGCAGCTCGATGGTCAGCTCCATGTCCTGACCTGAGACCTTCTCAGCTGGACACAGCTGTGCTAAAGGCGAGTCCTTTTTCCATGAATAAGGTACAAAGCTGGAATACGTAAGTGATACTCTCAACTCCACCATCGATAGACTCTGCATCAGATGAGTTCCTGCCCTTCATCTCTTCATGTCCTACCTCTTTATCTGTAAATTGGRAACTGTATTTACCTGTCAAGGTTAAACCTTGAAGCTGAATGGAGAAATGGTAGGTCTTCCAAGAAGCTGCTACTGCCAAGACTCTGTTGCAGATGGGATTAATCTGAGCACACCAGGTGCCTTAGTACAGAAGAAATACACTTGATCTGGCAAACAAGGAGTTACCATCCACATCTCATACTTATCTGACTTTYGGTCTCGTGCTCATCTCTCAGAGTCTGAGTACAAGTCATGACATTCCAGAGCTGTGGTATGGGTGAGGTTTTGTATAGTCTAGACACAGTTAGTCTGAGGTTTGTACCTTTATACACCCCCTTGTCACCAGAAATCACGCAGGGGCAGCTGCTCCGGGGTTAGGGCAGGAGGATGGACTGAAATCTCTTCCAGGCTAATTTTTCTGCAGGTGAGAAAGGAAAGCAAAGACCTTGCTTTGTTAATTATCATTACTTCACATTCCAAATGGAACTGATTCAGCTCTTCTTTTTTTACTTCTTAGAGGTAAAACCTACCACTATGTAGCTGTGAGTAATTCCAGACATGCTCTGGCGCATTTGAGTCAATACATCAGGCTGTCAGCAGAGAAACTGGGACACAGCCACTGCTGCTGGTGGGTCCAGGCAGAGCCYGGCTGGCAGCTGGGAACGGTCCCAGCAGGAACAGGCAGGCTGCTTCCCGTGGGACGCTGCAGACTCTCCCCACGTGCACCATGGATGTCTCACCCCAGATTACCCCAGTGTGAGACCTAGCAGGAGTCCAGTTCCTGCATTATGAGCCCAAACCCGCACAACCAGGAAGAGCACAGAGGGTCTGTGGAGTTGGAGCTAACGCACATGGGGAGGGTCGTGCTTCAGAGCACCGCCGTCTCCAGCTGCTCTTTCCTGGACCTGGGGGATTAGAGGAGGTAGGAATGCTTACAGGGGGTGAAAAAGAGAATAAAACAAACCTCTTTTGAGTTCATATACTGCAAAGAACCAATTTTTTATAGCCAGTTGGACAAAGCCTTGAAAGCTTTAGGCATCTTTTGCAGAGGGCAGGTTTAGTGGGGAGCACGGTCACCCTCAGCCTCCACAGCCTCCACAGAGAGCTGTAGCCTGGCTAGAAAAAAATGCTCTTCCCTTACTCGGGAATTTTACTGCAGAGAAAAGAAACACTCGAGGGCACGTAATGGGTCCTGGCTTGAGCGCTCTGCTCTGGCACTTGCAGCGAGCGGCCGCGCGGAGCCCAAGGGGCAGCGCGGCGCCCCGGGCTGCGCAATGGGAAGGAGGCGCCGGCTGCGTGGGAGGCGAAYGGCTTTATGGAAAATAGTGGGAACCATTGTACTAAGCCTGTTAGCTCATTTTAACAGCTTTATTTAACTGCAAAATTTGTCCCGTATGGAAAGCGCAGCTGTAAGTGCTCGYACAATGGAGATACTGCCATACACAGGAAGGCCACACGAGCCCCTGCCGGTCGCTGTTGTAGCTGGGCATGGTGGCACTTCGGGGGAAAACAGGGCTATTTCTGCCTCTGGTTACGACTGAACTCAGAGCGTGAAGGTTATTCTAAGTGTTTTTGTACATGCCCTTCAGGATTTGGCATCTCTTGGGAAGAAAAATTTTGTCAGAAACTTCAGCAATTGGGGAATCTTAGGGACTCCAAGTGCCTAATCCCACCTGGTGACAGCAACCACTCAGTTTTATCTCATGAAGGTAACTTCTCTCCTCCCTCCCCTTCCCTGCACTGCACAGTGATGTGTAGGGGAAATTGGGTTTCCCTCATGCTTCCTCTCCTTCTTTACATGATTAGTTCTGCAAATGGTTGCATCTTGATTTCAAAATACAGACTCCATTGACAATATCCTACTAATCCCATGAGGATCAATGGAACAAATAATAGGAAAAATGAGAGTGTCTGGAATGCTAGCCAAAGACTTTGAACCAAAGACCATCCCTTGCCTTCAGCCTCTTTCTTGGGTCACCCACTGCTTCCTATTCAACTTGAATTAAAGCTCCTATAAAAACAACATGGTGTCAAGCACTATCAGCAGGACATTTATATTTGGCTTGCAAACTGACACGGTTCCACAGGTCTCTCTTTTGAACTGCCCTAGGTAGAAGATATAGTCTCCATATTCTCTAAATGCCATCAGGAGACACTGGTGTCCAACTACAAACATAATTGCTCTATCACCTCTGAAAAATGCAACCTTTAAGCCAGTTTTAACCTACTCTTTTTGCTTTAGAGCCCATGCCCAGCATTCTGGCTCTGCTTTTTCATTTTGTTTTGTTTTCCTGTCATAGATGTAAG